TATTATTCCAACAACCTACTGACAAATTATACATACAACTAGTTCAAGGAAGAAAATATATCTAGTCAAGATTTATCTGAGAAAGCTTGGTTTTTGCCCAAGCTTTATCTATATAGCATACAGTAATTAAAAGTACCAGACTAGTGCAAGTAACCTTCTTGCATGTTTAACAGCCATACTTTGACGCCTATACTAATCTGGTCAGAGGGACTTAAAGGACAGTTTTTGCTCCTTGCCCTCCCAGGTCGCCTAAGTTCCATGGGACTATGGAGCAACTCAAAATTTCCTGTAACTATTGTTAGTCACCTGTTCTCTTGATCAAGGAGACTATGGAGACCCCACCAAATGGATTTGAACCAGTGTACAGTCTACAAAGAGGACAGTCAACACAGAGGAAACATTTACTCCATGCTGCCAAGTGAAGCCAGCCATGATTGAGCAGGACCTTTGACTTACCTTCACATAGATGGGACTGGTAAAAGAAAGGAGCCAGGGGCTCCTCCCAAGCCCATGTGACCCCTGAGGAACAGATCCTCAAAGGACCTTAAGAGTAAAAATAAATTCGTTTACTTGGGCAAACTGTATGGCCTTAAACACCCAAAAGGAAAGTATAACCAAAGATTAAAGTGATCAGTATATTTGTTTTAGAGTCCATGTGTATAGCTAAAAGCTACATTATAAGAAACAATGTCAGACAGGAGATACCTCCTTTTGAGTTGTTATCCAGGGTGGCCCAAGAGACTCCCATACAGTAACCCAGCAACGAACTGGGTAAATGAACAGCAGACCCCAATCTTATCTAAAGGAATAATGACAACTGATTGCTGCTAGATGATAAGGAGATGATCTTCCTAAAACAAGGGATTCTAGATAGGCTGACTAGACTAAGCAGATGGACTAGCATTGGCACTGATTAACACAGTGGACAGTTAATAGGGATGACAAAGTATATGTGCTAGGCAGGGGGGCTGTGGGAGGGCACCATTTGGGATGGGGATGTATGGGAGGGCACCACTTGTGATGTGGTATAAAGATGAATAAGATTGTTTGGGATGTTCTGTATGAAATACACACACATAAAAATCAATAATAAATAAAAGAACATACCTGAAACACAGGAGACAACATATGTTTTACAAATTCAAAATTCTTACCACAACCACTAATTTTTTCATTTATTGCATTATAGGTCACTTATAGATTGGTCTGAAAATGATAGATTTCAGATCACTTGGAGCCAGGCATGGTCATTCATGCCTGTAATCCTAGCACTGGAGAGGAAGAAGCAAGAGGATCAGAGTTCAACGTCATCCTTGGCCAAGTATAAAGCTCAGGCCCAGCCTTGTCTACATGTAGCCCTGTCTCAAAAAAATCAAATCAGAGACTGGAGAGAGTAATGGTAAGAGTACTAACTGCTCTAACAGAGGATCTGGGTTTGTTTCCCAGTACCCACGTGGTAAATAACAGTCATCTGGAACTCCAGTTCCAGGGCATGCAGTGCCCTCTTCTGGTCCCCTCAGGCATTGTATAACACAGGTGTACTTATGTACTTGCAGGTAAAACACTAATACACATTAAAATAAAATAAAAAAATTATAAATCCAAACAACAAAAATGATGCAAAGTGGTAATATTATTCAAGCAATTCAACTTCACTGATTTAGCAATCTGTTGGCTTTAAAGTAAAGACTACCTTATCTTCAAAGCTAAGAGCTCTGCAAAACTGGAATGGAAACCTCCCTTAGTGTGGAAGGACCCTTCAAGGGGTGCAGACATGGATCTCCCGACCTCCTCCTATACACTCTGAGCTGTAGGCTCTCTTAACTATATACCCTGATCTTTGGCCCGCCGTTCTCATTAAAAAAGATTATGGGGGGGGGTACCTCAGTATGCATGGGTATATATCTTGCCTTTTCACATACACAAAAGAATACCTGGAAAACATAAACTTAAAACTTAAGTAGTTAAAGGAACACAGCTTTCAAGACCTACTAACACTTTCTTCTCTTTCTTTTTTTTTTTTTTCTTAAGACCTAACACTTTCTTATACAGCACAGCAGAACCATGTAAGCTATGTAATCAAGAAGATAACAAGCTCAGATTTGGGTTGTCAAGAAGAATTTTACTCTCCTGGCTCTTTGGTATTTCTTTGGGCCACTCTGGCCCTACTGTCTCTAAGTGTATGGCTCTGGGCCAATGCCATGATCCCTTTCATTTCCATTTAATGATTATGGAGAAATGCATTAAAATTCTAATGAGACCCAATAGTTTAAGATGTCAAAAAAAGTTTTGACAGTTTTAAAAACAGATACTGTTATTGTTTGGGTACTAATGTATAATTCACATTCTATTTTTATAAGGCCTGTTTTACTGCCACCGATTATTAGAATTCTAATACGATCAATGAGGAAATCCTTTCCTGAACTAACTGGATAATACAAGATACGAAAATGATCCCTGTACCCCACAGTTAGCTATTGTTCGGTTGATCTCCAAACTTCTGATATCTCTCAATTATTATCATTTTAAAGCAGAAAACATCATCTGTTGAACCGTAGAGTAACATGGCAGTCCTTGTCATCTGGCTTTTCAGTGTTTCAGGACTTAAAGATGGAATATCAGGAAGCCAGAGACCTAGACACTGTGATAGAGTGGGGACTGAACGACAATGGAGCGTACAGCCAAAGCTGCAGCCTTAGAGGAATGTATTAGATATACTTAGTTGTGGATGCTGTGATTATCTTCACTAACACTCACAAAACAGTTTAAAATATAAACCGATCTAAGTTGTTACTATTATTATATATACTGGTTGAGCATCCCTGCTCTGAAAATTCAAAATCCAAAATCGTAGGGGCATTGATATATTATTCAAAAAGTATTGAATTTTGGGCTATTTTGGATTTTTGAACTTTTAGACTAAGGATTATCAACTGACAAGTTCTAAGCAACCATTCCAAAATTTGACACTCTTCTGGTTCTAAGAACTTTGGGTAAGAGATATTCAACCTGTACTGACTGATCTATAACAATCTTGTGAGGTGGCTGTTATTCCCATTTTATAGAAGAGAAACTGAGGAGAAATGATGTTGAAAGTAACTTGTCCATAGCTATAGCATGCATCACCTAGAACTCACCCTAAGATCTCTGAGGCAAATCCCATGTACTTCCCAACAAATGATGCAGAAAGAAGAGGTCTGTCATGTAACACTTAGGGACATGGACTGTGAGACAAGAATGGCTTTTTGATATGGTAATTGCTGAGGAGACTAAAAAAATATGTTTTTTGTAGCCTGAAGATAACAACGTTAACTGAAATAAGAAGGCTATCAGTAATTTGGCTAGAAGGTGATTCGAATGTGTAAAGACAGAAAAGCTGCCCTGGAAATATCATTATAACAACTGCACAATAAAACCTTTTTAGAATCCTGTGAAACATTGGAAATTGATAAATCATAGTTTGTTTTGAAAAGTTTGAAATCTGTATATTAAGAAAAATAATTCATAGAATAACAGGTGTTCAAAAACCTTTGCCATTAAAGCTGTGTGTGTTTTACAGCTTGTTAAAATTATGAAGTAACACCACTTGAATTAGTGAGTTAACATCATTCTACATACGTTCTTTTGACATCTTGTTCAATCATTGATCGCAGTTCTTTATCTTGAAAGAATTTGTTCCAAAGACTCTGAAATAGGAAGAATAACCTAATTTAAAAAACTCAAATCTCTGATTTACTTTCAAGACTTCAATTTAATAATTTAAGTGATTAAATTTATTCTTCTATAAATTTACATTTCAGGTTTCTTAGATAAAAAATTTGAGATTGAAATAATTTTATAAAATCTAGACTAACTTCAAAACATACAGTTTTTCCAAGTCAATATTGTATGTATTTAAAAAACTTTTCACCATCTGTATGAGGTAATGGGTACTTCTCACTCCTGAATATTGCCTGTATGACAGAGACGTGCTTGAAATCGAGCAGGAACCTCAGGCCAACTAGTTCTAAGTAGTCCTGAATGCTCAACAAACTACAAAAGATTTGTAACAATTCCTATGAAGCTCTGTCTTATAATTTAACAGGCTCGTCTATGGGTTTTAAAAAATGTTAACTTAGGTAAAGTTATAAACTATTTAATATTTTATGTTGCTATAGTGAAGACTGTATTATACTGATTATATGCATCAGAAAAAAATGCCAATATATCTACCAAGTGAGAAAAAAAATTTCTTTTCTCAGTTAAGTATGCAGATAAGAGTAACAACTGAATACATTATACAGTAGTTTAAAACGATAATTATCCCAGACTTTGCTGAACTGTCAGGAGGCAGTTTGATGCTTGTCTTGATCTTTTATAGATTCTTTGGAATCATCATCAATAGTCACTTCTTTCCTCCAGGGAGATGGTCTTGCTGAGGGGCTATTACTTTGCTCTTTCCAAAGCACAGGTGTTCCTTGGCTACTTTCTTCACTACAACCTTGAGAAGAGCCCTCTCATCATCTTAGCCCTTCTATTTTAGCCTTATAGCTCTTAGAGACCCATAGCACTTCTCTGAAGTAGCATTTTATAGAATGAGCTATAAACTCCTTACATCACAGTGTGTGTGTGTGTGTGTGTGTGTGTGTGTGTGTGTGTGTGTGTGTGTACATGCGCATATCAGGTTTTAGGTACTTGAGTATTTACAATAATGAAAATACTTGGCATGGTGATTTTCAACCAGTCTTACAAGCCTATTTTTAAGGGTGATAAAGGTTGAAATAAAAAGAAGATCTTTACCCCTTCATCTTGAGACAGGGGATTGTTGATCATCAAATCCTGTTGACCAACAACTTTCCTTGGATTTGTGATGTGCTGGTAGAGAAAGAGATACACACAAAGATCAGACGCTAGTGAACTTTAAAACTAGAGCTAATCACCATTAGTTTCACTTCCTCTTTACTTACTATTTCTTTAATGTTTTCATACCATGTTCTTAATTCTTTGATTTTACTTATCCATTGACTTTTATCTTGAGGAAGAACACAAAGAAAGAGCTATTGAGGAGAAAAAAAAGAGAAAACTTGTAAAAATTCTAATTAATAAAACATGAGACCAGGCTAAATAAGATCATTTGAAAAGTTGAAGTGATATTCCATATGCTATGTTCCAATGATATATTTTTTTGGATATTAAAAAAATACATTGATAGAAATTTAGAAACTGAGTAAACAAAGGTCAAAAGCAAGGTGGACACCACAAAAATGGAATCAGGTTCTCTTCCAGATTTATATGAAAAGGGAAGAAAAGCTCATCAAGCTTCAAGTCTAATTCCCATTCTACACTATAATTTTACTGGGACTGGTAAGAAGTTATTGTGTGCGAGACCTGATAAGCAATTCCTAGGTCTGAGACTTTCTTTTAAAACACCAAATAGAGCAGAAGACTCAGCCAAAGAAGCCCAGCCATTCTTTCTACAGTGAAAAATATAATTTACAACTGGCAATCAGCTTATGAAAATAAGCATTCTTAAGATGACAAATTTGATTTAATTTAGCTTAATACAATAATAAAATAAATCTGGATTTAGGTTTATTTTTAGCAAATGAAAGATACTAAAAGTTGAACAACAGGGAATGAGGGTGGGGTACAAATATTTGAATACAAATTTTCTAGCAGCAGGTCCTATTTTTACCACTTGCCTCTAGAGAAAGAAAGATGTATTTTAATTATTAAATCTAAATTATTAAGTCTAAAACTAATACATCATATATTTCTTATAGTACGTACAGACTCTGTATGCTCAATTTATGCATATAACCCTAAAAACTTTTGATAGAAGACATTTGAAAAATAAGTGTACACCCAAATTAATTCATTGTAGAGAACAAAAAGGGACAGCTTTTCAAAGCAATTAAGAAGGTAACTGCAGATTACTGTTACCAGACTTGCTAGCCAGTGACCCCTCTGAAGGAGGCCGGACCAGGTTCTTCCTACTCTGCTTTGTTGCCCTTCACTCAGTGTTTCTATCATAAGAAATGAAAAACACCTTTTCCTTCTACTCTTTAGGAAGAAAAAAGGGAAGATGACTCAATGACAGCAGCTGATTTAACAGGAATATGAAACTTACCCACCTCCCCTACCTGTCCCCTACTTCCCTCCTCCAACTTCAAGAACTTCATAAAAAGACTCCAAGTAATGTAACAGTGGTGCTCTGGAATTTTTACCAGTAAAAGAGATGAAAGGAGCTATTTCAAATGATTCATTTACCATCTCTACTTACTCAGGTGGTCCAACCTTATTAGTAAATGTCCTATGAAAGATAAACACAAATGGCCAAAAAATTGGAGTGAAATATCTTGGAAAATGCAGTGATCTCTGCATGGGTCATCTTCCAGGGCATCAGGTAATGTGTTGATGTATTGCAACCACAAACTGTAAATGAGTATTTTCTTCTTACCTTCCAGCAAATGCTTCGGAACCTGCTGCTTCTCAGCTGCCCATTGATCCCCTTCTGCCTTATTGTTGCCCAGTAATTGTTGTTTACAAATAGCTCTTCCCATTCTTTCCTGTAGGAAAGGGACCAGAGCAAGAGAATGCTTTTGTTAAAATTCTTCTCCTTGAAGAGACGTGCTACAAGAAACTAATTTTAAATAGTGCAAGAAATTTAACTTTTAAAATGTGTATATTTAGTTGTGTTCTGCAACGGAATGCATGACTGTCTTTTTGGACCCAGCTCTTCTGTAGATTTAATGAATATGTAGATAGCTATAATTATGCCAGCTACTGAAATTTGTAATGTCTACAGAGGCTATTCCATTTCCTCTAAAACGCTGGTAGTGTAGTTCGGTGAATAAATAAGAAAAATGAGTATTAATACAAATATATGACTGCTTTAGACATTAACAAAAATATACCTGTTCCAAATATATAAAACAGAAAAATGTCTTGTTGACTATATTGGCCTCTCATAGGAAATAACTGTGAGTAACTCTGTTTTTCTTTCCTGTTAGGCTGGACAGTTAACTATAATAGAATACTACCTTCTTCAATTGCTCATGCTATTTACTACTGAAATCTCTGCATCTTTCTACATGATCAGTTTTAAAATTTTAACAGGTGTGGGGAATTTGAAGAAAACATCAAAAAATTAAAAAGCCTCACTGTAAAAACTGTTAAAGGCAAGCCTGAATACCTTGCAGTACCTATGGCTGAGTAGATAAACAACTGAAATATGCCTTCCAGGCATGCAGGCACCAGGGGCCTAACACCTGTGCCTCATTAATATACAAGTAAATCTGCTCTACTGGGAAACAATTGAAAATTAATTGTCCCAAACCATTTACTGAGTTTGAATAAAGGAATCAGACCCTTATTCCCAGCTTCTTGCACCAAACTAAACATTAAGAGTCATTTGTCAACAGTTGAGGCTACGGAGATCAGCTTCATGAAATTACTCTCAAATTCTATGATGCCACAATAAAACCGACTCACAATGCAAAACGCATTACCAAAGCCAACACCCTAGAGGCAATCTCTAAAGAAAGATTTCCTGAGAAGAAAGCTGCTGAAATGCTCACATACACACCCCGTTGTCAGGGCCAGATTTCACAGGGGTTGGGAAAGGACAATCTTACATACTATGCTTACAGTCAGGAATATAACTCAGGGTGTGTCTAAACATCTGACCCCAATGAAAGAATCCTAAAGAAGTGAATGCAGATAAATGGCATATTCCTATTGCTACCAGAATGACTAGTTGTGGCACAGAAGCCCAGTCAACCAAAGCCTTCCATCAGTAGGGCTTTGTGGCCGTGTGCCAAATCGAACACACATTCCACCCCATGCTGGAAGAAATGCATTTTCACCACTACTTTTAAAACATCATTTCTTAACACTTTATTAACAAGAAAAAAATTATTACTAATGAAACTGAAAATTGTTATTTCTTCCAGGTCATTTTATTTCATTTTTAATAACCTTTCTTGTCCACTGTTCACTTTTAGCAGTATAGGATAGCAACTGGAGCATAAACAGGAAAGCCACATTCCTGTAATAAAAAAGTCAGTAACACAGTCAGAAGCACTAGCCAGTTCACTATTTATTGATAGTACCAGACAGAATAGTTACTTAACCTTCCTGTGCCTTAGTTTCCCCATCTGTGAAGTGGAATAAAATCTATCTTGAGGAATTATTATGAAGACTGTTGATATTAGTTCAGTGAATTAAGTACTTGCAGGGCACGTACAAGGCCCTGGGTTCAGTTACTAGTGCTAGGAAAAATTTCTTTAAAATGGTCATGATGGCTGTTGCACACATCACCTCACAACACCTATGATTACCTTCACAGAACCTCCACATGCAATAAACACAGGGGTCAGAAGAGGAAGTCGGATTCCCCTGGAACTGGAGGTATGGACAGTAGTTAGCCTTCATGTGGGTGCTGGGAATCCAACCTGGGTCCTCTACAAGAGTATCCAGGGCTCTTATCCATTGAGTCATCTCTCCAGCCCCACAATGAACCTTTTTAATTGTGCAGTATTTTACATTTAACATCATTTCCTCCTGCTGTCCTTTCCAGTGTCCTCCCTCCAATGCTTGGCAACCCCAAAATCAAATATTCATTGAACTATTTATTCTTTTTTAACCTTCTTAACACACCTACATTAACTATAATATTTAAAGAATTTGTTTCCAAAGGGTTTCACACATATGCCCACATCTCTCACGGTTCAAACTGTGATTTGATCCAGTTCCTAGTAATATTCAAAGATGATATAAACAAGCACATGGGAGGAGTAAGTCCCAGGGCATGGTCTATGAATAAAAAGCACAGATTTGAAGTATATTTTGAACCCAGAAGTAAACTGAATGTAAGAAACCAAGCACATCTATGGTCTGAAAGTACCAATAATTATGGAGACAAGAAAGAAGTATACATTAAAGATTCCCAGTCTCTTCTGAAATCAAATTCTAGGCAAAGGGACCAACAACCTACATTAGCTTAAGGTCAGCTGGTGGCTAGACTCACTGGCAACCTCTCAAGTATAGGTTTTTAAGGTCAAGTTACAAGCTACTTAAGTAATGAAGCTTAACTATCTGCTAGCTTAAGTAGAACTTTCTACAATGATTATAGTGTTGATGCAGAGAAAAGGTGACTGAGGTATATGAATCAGAACCATCTCTGAAATTTAATCACCTAAATTTATTCATAGGTGTAGCTGTAATTAAGGTGTAACATCTCAAATTAAGGAAAGCTCTAATAATAGAAGCACACAAAGACCATGAGTTATGTATTAACTGTTTCTTCTATGGAATAGTGTTTGGTCAATAAAGTGTTATAAAGAATTCTGAGTATTTACAAAGTGCCTACTATGTATGTACCATTTACAGAGGCATTTTAAGATGTGAAGTTAAGGGAGTGGACACAAGGATGTGTAAACCAATAAGGATAGGATTAATACAAAAGTTCTCCATGAGGAAAAATGTTTTTATTACAATTAAAACTTAAATAAAATAATCAAAACCACAGGTACTGAACTCTTACAAAAAAATTCCACTAAAGAATTGAACTATCAGAGGTTAAAGAGGCTCCAAAGGGCAAAATGTTCTAGAGGAGCTGAACCAAAGTACAGGATGCTTTCTTCATTTTTTCTTTTTAAATGATCATACATGAGTGTGAGAGCTCATGTTGACTTTGAGGAACACATGGAAAAGAACAGGGAGTGATAACAAGGAGTTGCTGTTAGAGTTTTTAAGTTCAATTAGAAAAGTAGTCAGCAAATTTTGTCTTATACTACATATACCTTATATACTTTTAGATATGGTACATCCTACACACACATGCACACGCACACACACATATATAATAGTATGTGCACTTGAATAGCAAAAACCAGACAGCAATGCCATTAAATATTTTAAAGTCAATTATAATATTAAAAATATTTTATTATTTTATTTTATGTGTATGCGTGTATTGCCTGTGTGTGTGATAAGTGCACCTGTGATACGCAGTGCCTGCAGAGGTCAGAAGAGGCCATTGGATTCCCCTGGAACTAGAGCTATGGACAGTTGTTAGCCTCTATGTGGGTGCTGAGATCGAACCCAGGTCCTCTGCAAGAGCAGCCAGTATTATTAACTGCTGAGCCATCTCTCCAGCTCCCCAATTATATTTTACGCAAAAAAACTGAACCTCTCTAGGAACCAGCTTCATGGGAAATGTATCTCTAACTTCTCTTTACAAATGAAGAAACAAAGGTTTAGAAAAACTGAACAACTGCCAGCACTCAGGAAGCAAAGCAGGTGGATCTTTATGAGTTGGAGGCTAACCTGCTCTACATGAGTTTTAGGTCAGCCAGGGCTACATAGGGAGACCCTGGGTCAAAAAAACAAAAACCCAAATTAAAAAACAAAACGAGGAAACAAGCCCCCCCCAATGTTAACAAAGACAAGCACCTTTCCAGAATGACAAGGAAGGCAAACCAACTAAAAGGACATAGCCTGTTTGAGACACCAGAGCAAATGACCTCTGTCAATTAGGCAGGCAGAAACAGGACCCTATGTGTTCTTTCTCACTGAGTTTTTATATTAAGTGTAAGTACATAGAAGTAAGTTTTCATCTGTTAGACTGGGAAGGTGAGTCAATTCTGACTGCAAGCAGTGAAGCACAGCCTGGCACATCGAGGGTGTTTAAAAATACTTAAATGGAACAGAATTGAAACACACCCTTCTAAAAGGCACTAGTGCCACCTAGTGGCAAGTACTGTGGCATAGCAGGCACGGCATCCCTGAGAACAATCACCCCCTAAGAGAGGACCAGGGTGGACTGGCAGTGGCTGCTTGGGAAGCTATTTGAGAAAAGCCATGCCATATTTTGAGATTACCCAGATGCTCCTCAAAACAGACTACTGAGTGAGCAACTATGGCCAACAGTGTAGCAATTGTTTCTAAAAAGGAAAACCAAGAAATAAACTGAAATCAAAAATAAAAGAAACAAAACAAACAACAACAAAACAAATCTTAGAAACTCTTTTGCAGAAGCAATTGATGCTTTCTCTCTAATAAGATATACTTCTGCAGTTAGCCACCTGCACTGGTTTATCATTTGTTTTTGTTGTTTTGTTTTTGTTTCTGACATGGAAATTAATTTAAATATTCAATTAATAAATACAGGTGCTGATTATAAAGTTACATCTATTTCTAATTATATATTTTAGTGTATTTTTACAATATGTCTAAAAACTGATATGAAGCTAGTTAGGTTTTCTTTCTTTCTTTTTTTGGGTCTTTTTGAGACAGGGTCTCCCTGTAGCCCCAGCTGTCCTGGAACTCACTATGTAGACCAGGCTGGCCTTGAACTCACAGAGATCCGCCTGCCTCAGCCTCCCAAGTGCTGGGATTAAAGGTATGTGCCACCATGCCCGCCTGGCTTAAACAACAATTTTCATTTTATGTGTATGAGTGTTTTGCCTGCACTACATGTATTCACTACCTGTGGAGGCCAGAAGAGGGTGCTGGATGCCCTGGAACTGTAGTTACTGATGGTATTTAGCTGCCATGTGTGTGC